TCCCGGAAATGAGGGGTTCCCGAAGTCATTTCAAGCAACTTTTTCCTTTACAACAGTTTTCTCCGAGGCACCGTTAACGAGTTATTAACGAAAAACGGTGACCAATGAGAGGCGAGCTCAGCTGGCGCGAGCCGGCCGAGTCAACAGCGTCAGCGGTCGAGCGGTCGAATCCCAGCTCAGCTGGCGCGAAGCGGCCGAGCCAATCAGCGGAACTGGGCTTCGACCGCTCGTTGGCTCAGCGACCTCGCCTAGCGCTAGGCGGTCGAGCCAATCGGCGGAACTGGGCTTTGTCCGCTCGTTGGCTCGGTCGCATTGCGCCAGCGATGCTCGCATCTCATTGGTCGGTGTTTTTCGTTAATAACTCGTAAACGAAGCCGCGGATTGCATTTTCGCTAAGGAAAAAGTTACTTCAAATGACCTCAGGAACTCCTCATTTCGTGGAAATACCATAATTCTGGGTCACACTATATTTTGATATTTTTCGTTGTCGCGATACGAAAATGATAAACATGTGATAAGAAAAGAAATGATTCTAAAAGAGACGAAAATCCATACACAGTGGCCCACAAAAGTGTTCGTACACCTTTTAAAACGCAATAACTTTTTTTAAAACTAGACTAAGTGATTCGAATTTTTTTTTAATGATAGAGGGACTAGTCTACTAGACGATGGCTGAAGAGGTTTTTCTTAATTTTGCTATTACTTGGAATGACAAAAAAATAAAAACCTCTCGATTTTTAACTATTTTATATGAGCCTATAATAACTATTTAACTATATAACTAAACTATAATAACTATACGATAACTGTATAACTAAAATTTTAAAAATTTGATTGAAATCGGTTAATCTAGAGTCGAACTACAGGCGTTGAAGGATTTAAAAAACTGCAGATTACAGTTTTTGTTAAAAATCGCGATGAAACTGCGATTTTTGTGATCTTTAATTTGTTGTAAATTGAAACAACGTGGACCGATGTCGATAAAATTTGTACATAAATAAATTGATCTATATATAAATACAAAAGACATTTTCTAAATTTTCGTTATAGGTTCAGATAAAAAAGTTAAGAACAAGGGATTTTTATTTCGTCGTCATTCCAAGTAATAGCAAAATTTAAAAAAAAAACAGCATTTCAGTCATCGTCTAGTAGACTAGTCCCGCTGTCATCTAAAAAAAATTCAAGTCATTTAATTCAGTTTTAAAATAGTTATCGCGTTTCGAAAGCAACGTTATTGCCGACTTTTGCGGGCAACTGTGTATGAAATCGCGTGGGAGCGCTGTATTCCAACTAATAGCCAGGAGTAATTGCCGTTCTCGGATCTACTTGCTGGCAGGAAGCTGAAACTGCCGTATTACATCTCGATAACGTAACAAACCAACGAAAACGCAATTACTTTATCGCGGGTTTTCCTCTCGATATGACGCGGAACGTTCGCTTTTTCGCGCAGCAAACCGAAGCGTGGGCTGATAGATATAATAGACTGTTTCCCGATAGAAAACGCGGGAGCATGATTGAGCGAAAACCATTGAAATATCGGCGGGGCTCGATCATCAGAATCGAAAACAACGCTTCGTTTCCGTCCAGCGGTGCTCGTTACGTCTAAATAAATAACGCGTACGCGCCTCGTGTGCGGCAACAAGCTGGCGCCAAAAAGCGGATCGATAACATCGGTGTTAGCCTAGCGAGCTACAGGTTTCCCGAAGGCTTGCACACACGCGAGCGCGCATTCGCGCGTCTACGTGATCGCAATTTCGGACGCACGCAGCTTCTCGCGCCGCGAGAAACTGCGGAATGGTGATTGCGCGCGCGATCAGCCGCGCAACGATCGTATAAATATAGTGAAAAGAGAGGAAGAGAGAAAGAGAAACAGAGGCACGCACACACACGCGGGGCCGATCGAAAGTTCGGGTACCGCGTCCGTTTCGGCGATTACGTCGATCATTGTGCGAGTCCTGAAAGCTCAACCGGGCAAAACTCACTGGAAACGCGCCTCTAACGGGCACGGATTTAGGCTGCACCGGGAATTGCCGATGCGCGATCCTGCTCGCGACGCTTTAATTTAACCCTTTGTCTTGGTTCTACGTGCCCACTGCCCGCGAACTGTCTTATCGTCTAACCCTTTGTAGATGATTACCGGCAAATAACCGTATCGTGACGCTTGGCGGCAGTCGATTAGGGTAATTGGCAGGTGTCGTGGGGGTAGAAAGTATTCGTACACTTTTTGTTGACACGGAATAAGTTTCTCATAATTGAACCGCGCGGTCTAAATTGTTTTTGGGACGATAGAAGGATTAATTTACTAGACGGTGATTCAAAAATTATTTTTGTTTTCAAAAATTCCAATTTGTTGGTATGATGGAAGAATTTTAAAAAATGACGTTTTTTTAACTTTTTTATCCGAGCCTATTACATTTTTTTTTTATTTTTCACCGAGAACCACAAAATGCATCTTTGAAATTTTCGTTACAGGCTCAGATAAAAACGGTTGAAAAAAACATTATTTTTTAATTCTTTTATCGTGCCAACGAATTGCAATTTTTGAAAATAATTTTGTAGCCCTTGTCTGGTAAACTGATCACTCTAACATCCCCTAAAAAATTTAGACCGCTTTACCACCTGATTATAATAAAGTTATTAGGTTTTAAAAGGTGTACGAATACTTTCTACACTCACTGTACGTAGCTTTGATAAGTTACTTTTAGGTGGTTGATACGTCTGTTTTAACTGTGGTGTAATGGTTATAATTAGACGGCGGATCCTTATGCGAAATAAAAATTGTACGTGTTAATTGCGAGCAATGGGAACTAAGTAACAAATTCGTTCTTTCTTTCATCACTTTGATAGATTAAAAATGATATATCGAGATTTTAACCCTTAACTGCTGCATATCTATTGAAACGTGTTCGTTTACCTGCAAATCGCAAATGTTTACTGCGTTAATGTTTATTGCGACATAAAAGTGTGGTAAATATAAAATTAGAATCAACTGCTCTTATTTTACATATCGATAATAAAGGCACGTCAATATTAAAAAAACGTTACTTTCTTTTTTACAATTATATGCATATGTATGTTTCCATCACAGAGGTAATTAATTAGTAGACAGAGGTCTCGCAGACAGGTAGTAATAGTTGGAGGTTAAAAGCTTTTGGATCTTTTTACTGTTTTAAATTTCAGCTACACAACACTACTATAAATGCATAAAATCTGCGGTCTAGTTATGGTACTACCTCGCTAATGCACCAGCGAATGCTGAGTGCCAATAAATATTCGCACTTCGTGCACACATTCGCGATAGAGTTACTAAAAATTGCATCACCCTGGTCTGAATATTTGTCCATTACACTGAATATTTTGCAGAGATAGTCGTTTCTACATTTTTAAATTACTTGGCACCCTCTATTATACGTATTACTGAAGGGTTTCGAATTGCCAGGACAAAATAAGGATGATTCTGAACAGAATCAGAAATCAGGCTAAAATGCGTTCAGTAAATGTGTTTGTTAAATTGTCCTAATATTTGTAGAGTTAAATATAAAAAACGCTATTGGACTTCGATGATAATTGTGATCTCTTTCATCAACAGACGATTCAGATAACGTAGGACATTGTCGCACGAAGGAGCGTATCTAAATTATAATACGCTGATATTTATCGATTTTGAGAGGGTTGCTAGACACATATTCTTTTACCGTCCAACGTTCACATCGAAGGGGTGAAAACAACCCTCAATTTTAAAACTGAAAAACATGTTTCTCGAGGTGCAATAAATTCTCTCCAATTGTCCCTCAGCTTGTACACAAAAACGGACATTTCGTTTCTATTAATAGAAATTAGCTATAAGCTTTTATGAACGTAAACTTTATTTACATAGTTGTGCACAATCGGCAATTATACATATAAACAAGCCGCGAGGCTCGAATAATCGTATTTCCGTTATTTTCCAAATTGTCCATTTTTGTTAACGAGCCGACAGACAATTGGAGAGAATTTACTGCATTTTAGACGACTGAGATCGTAGAACGGTAACATTTCTTTTTTTTAATCATTTCGGCAAATAAGAGAAATATGAAAGACGAAAAATATAAACGAGATGTATCTAAAGATCGACTGAACTTTCCTCGATAAAGGCAAAAAAAAAGAAAGAGACTCATTTCGAACGATTCGTCACCAAAGTGTTCACAACTTTCAACCAACAACGAAACTTTTATATCATTTTTCAAGAGATACAGTAATGTCTCCCTAACTGATGCTGACTTTGTGCACAAAAATGGACAATTTGGGAAGAGCAGATACGATTATTTCGAGGCTTCGGGCCGTTTTTATAATTATTGACAATTCCTCACTATAAAAATGAACCGCAAAGATCGAATAATCGTATCTTCTCTTCCCAAACCGTCCATTTTCGTGGACAATCCGAGCGTCAATTAGAGAGACATTACTGTATCGCGTGTCGCGGTTCCATTTACAGCTCAATTACCAAATGAACAAACAATTATTAACCAACGAAATTACCACGAAATTACACAATTACCATAATTAACAAACGTAACGCGCAAGAACAATGTTTCCTAAAGCATCGTTCTCTCGAGGATCAATTTCGTAGAACCGTTCCATTAAAAACAGCCGCCAGGAAACAATTCTCGCCATTTCAATCGAGCAGTTCCCAACATTTCCCTTTCGATCGTCTCGATCGGCCACCCAGCCGGACTCTCCTGCCAGACGGTCTTGTCCGCAAAGGGTTAGTATCGCAGTCGTACGCAGCGGAAAGCGCGTCGTAAAGCGCGACGTCTCGGTCGTCTCTCCCGGAGGACGTTTTCCCCGATCGTTTCGAGAATATTACCGGCGAGTGGAGCACGAGCATTTTACGATTCGATTCGATTCGATTCGATTCGATCCGGGACGGGACCGCGTACCCGAAGGTTCGATCGGCGGGGTGTGTCAATATATCCAGGCGTGTTGTTGAGAGTTCCATCGAGAAGCGGCGGTTTCCTTACAGGGTGCTGGACGCCAGATTGGTGTCCTCGTGTTTGAGCTGGCCGTCGAGGGCTAACCCCCACTTATTTTTGTTGTTGGCGAGAAGCGGTGTCAGAGAGAACACTTTGCTCAGCGTGAAACCTGGCCCCACCGGGCACCCCTCCCTGACAAACATGTAGCAGAAGGGTGAAGGTAAACGTGCCCCACGGGCCCTCGGGGTCCGGATCACGGAGTTCCGGGACTCGGCCGGAACTTGGTCCGATCACCGGCGCGTTTCGGGCACACCGTTCGAGATATATCGCTATTTGTTTTTCTCTCCTGCGTTTCCACGCAAAACTCAATTCGACCACCGCGCCGGCGTTCCTCTGGAACGCGCGGCTCTAACAGAACCGGGTCGCCGACTTCGTCGAACCGATTTTTTAACGACGCCCGCTCGCATCTATTCTCTTCTTCCGCCATCGACGGCGGCGACGACCATAGCGTGGTCGTTCGGTCGCGCCGCGCAATTCCCGCGAGGGGCGCGATAATTGCATTTGAAATTTAAATGTTCTTTAACCAGGGTCCGTTGTTCTCGAGGGTCGCGATCAAGCCGCCTGTCAATGCGAACTGGTCAGAAATCGTGTTCGCCGGAGCCGCGGCATCGATTTTCTTTTTTACTTTTCCATCCGCTAACGATCCGCACCACCATCCCCCGCGACCCCTGAAAATCTTGCGAGCTCCGAAATAGACGACCCGCGACATGGGATAATATCGCGATCACGTCGACCTCGACTGAGACCGACTTCTGGACCCAGGGATAATAAGCTACGTGACACCCGGACTGTGACGAGAGACCGTAAATGTACAACCGCGCGCGCGTGTCTCTGCGTGTATACACGAAACTTCAGCTTGTGCGTCACACTGCAATACAGGCTACGGAGATGATATATACCACCGGAGAACGGGGTAAGGAGAAACGATGAAAGAAACGATGAAAGAGGGGAGAAGAGGAGGGGTGGAAAAGTGTCATGGGTTGGGTATTCTGTCGATCAGCATATCAATCGTGGAAAGACACAGACGTGGAGATAATAGAAAAACATAGTAAACCGGATCTCTGTGTAAATGTGCGCGTACGTGTGTATGTATGTATGTATGTATGTATGTATGTATGTATGTATGTATGTCGGGGGATGGTGGACCGGACGGACGTGATCTTTGTACAGGAGGAAAACAGAAAGGCAGAGACCACCACCGATATTGGAGTTTCATATCCATAAAAGTCCCCAGCAAAAAAACCATCAAGAAAAATACTGGCATTCCATTTTGGAACGGCGTTCCCATACAATATCGCAGTTCGTTTCAGCGATGGTCGTCAACGAAGACTGCAAACGGGCTCCCGTGCGTCGCGCGATCCCCGTCGTAAAAACTAATGGAAAAGTGCTCCCTCCGGTGGGGCAATCGCGCGCGCGCGCGCGCAGAGCCGTTTTCTACGGCCGCGACTTTTAAATCGCAACCGCGGCATACGTCGCGATCGTTAAAGTCCGCCGACGGATCAACCCTTTACACTCGAAGCTATTTTAACTGTAAATATAAAATCATTCTTCTCAATTATAGTATTTTTATTATATAAAATGCATTTTATGCGTATGAAATTGACTCTTGGGACTCGCGCGGCAGTTACACTCTTGACAATCTTTCAAATCTAAACTTTGTTGATATCAAAATTATCTTAAAACGTGACGGAACAAATTTTAGCGGCGCCTCTGAGTCGCCACTCGAGTGCAAAGGGTTAATAATTGAGAGCAGAACGGGATTAACCCTTTACACTAGAAGCTATTTGAACTGTAAATATAAGATCATTCTTCTCAATTATGGTATTTTTATTATATAAAATGCATTTTATGCGTATGTAATTGACTCTTGGGACTCGCGCGACAGTTACACTCTTGACAATCTTTCAAATCTAAACTTTGTTGATAAAAATTATCTTAAAACGTGACGAAACAAATTTTAGCGGCGCCTCTGAGTCACCACTCGAGTACAAAGAGTTAACAATCGAGAGAAAAGCGGGATTAACCCTTTACACTCGAAGCTATTTTAACTGTAAATATAAAATCATTTTTCTCTATAGTATTTTTATTTTATAAAATGCATTTTATGCGTATGAAATTGACTCTTGGGACTCGCGCGGCAGTTACACTCTTGACAATCTTTCAAATCTAAACTTTGTTGATAAAAATTATCTTAAAACGTGAGGTAACAAATTTTGCGCGAGTGCAAAGGGTTAACAACCGGGAGCAGAACGGAGACGCAAATGATGCTGCTTGATCGATTAGCCGACAACGACGCGGGGAAAACGGGGCCCGTGAACAAGACCCGGGAGTCCCGAGGGGTGGGGGGCGACGTCGCTCGGCCCGTTTCCAGTCTTCGGTTCCCGCTTTGCCAAAGAAAAAAGAGACCACGACGGTCAATGGTGGAGCACTCACATTGTGCTAGATGCTAGATTGGTGTCCTCGTGTTTAAGCTGACCGTCTAGAGCAAGACCTCGCTTGTCTTTGTTGTCAGCGAGGGTCGGCCTTAGAGAAAAGACCTTGCTCAGGGTGAATCCTGGCGCTACCCCTATACTGCCAGTGCAATCATCTTATTTTCCGTAATCGTGGTGTCGCAATATCCTTCGCTTGCGGCGAATTGTGCGCGCGTTTAATCGTGGCGCGCCTATCGCGCCGAGATACTCGTCATGCTAATTTCGTTTCCTCGGGGCGCAGAGACCGGGTTACAAAGATCCGTCGTCGTGTCGCGGACTTTGCTGCACGGGGGAGTGTTCGCGACGCGGATAGCCGGCGCGCGGTCCGGAGCGAAATTTATCGGGCCGCCGCGCGATTTACGCCTTCCCGCGGCCGCCGCGTCGATAGATCTTCTTGGCTGGCCGGTGGTGTCCGGTCACGGCGCTACGAGATCGATCTCTCGTAAATCCTCCGGACAGAGGACGTGCGAGGCTGGGACAGAGCTCCGAGCAATTTCGATAGTAGATGGTGTCCCCGAGTTTTCTATCAACGTCGCGCGACGGGATTTTCCGTCGGGGCGCGCCGTGATCGGGCGCGCGGCGCTCGCCTTCTTCCGTCGCGGCCGCGGAAAAGAGGATCGGTCGGCGTGACCGCGATCGCGGCCGGGAAAATTGAATTTCGTCGCGGGCACCTGTCTTCGTTGGAACCGCAATGGGAAGCAGATCCTCGATCCGCTCGCCGCGGATCATCGGTTCCGCGCGGGAACCCATTCCGAGGGACGGTGAAGACGTCGTCCGTCGGCGATCGTTGGGGAGAACCGGATGTACGTCGCGTATGGATCCGGCGAACGGCCGCGACGAGCCTGCTTCCCATTGTCGACCGCGGCTTCTGAAAGAATGATGACTTGAATGATACTCACTCGCTCTCCGCCTCGGCGACCGTGCACTTGTACTGCGCCGTCGAGAACAGACAGATGTCCGCGAACTGCCTCACGGACACTTTGATCTTTTTCACAGTCCGGTTGCTATTGTTCGCTATGTGCACGTTCACGGCGATGTTCTCGCCGTGATGGTACAGCTCCTTGTCCAGGGACGCCTCCAGGTGTAACTTGTTCGGCGACATCACGAACTCTTTGCTAACCTCGACCGAAGGCTGCTCGCCCTGCTTCGAGGGCGCGTACATGATCTTTCGTATCGCCAGCCTGACCAGATCTCTGCAACCGATCGATCCACGACTGTGAAACCACGACGAGATCGCGCGGATCGCGATTTCACCGCGATTCGAGATCGTTCGGACGAGTCGCTCTTGCATTCGGTTGTGCATTGAATCCTTGACCATTTGCACTCGATGCCAAATTAACGCAAAATTGAATACAGTTTTTCCTGATCCACTGTATTTCCATTTTATTTGTTTATTTATTTTATACGGATGAAATTGAATTTTCTGATTGATGCAACAGTGTTATACTTTCGACAGTTCTTCAAATGTGAACAAATTCGATTAATAAAAGGATTTTGAAACGTGACGTGACAATTTTTAATGGCGCCTTGGAGTCGCCATTCGAGTGAAAAAGGGTTAAGTGATCCGCGAGATTTAAGAATCAGGGCTAAAATTGTCAATCGTCTTTTTCTGTTATCGAATGGTTCGCTGAGCAACGTAGATTTTTATTCGATGATAAATGAAGAAATAGATTGGCCCTCCGCTGTCACGCCGAGTCAAAGTGACCCACATTTCTTTTTTTGATAGAGCGATATTGTCAGGAGAAGAATGAAATTAACAATTAATTCAATGTACTGTAAATTCTCCCGGTTTTTCCTTCGGCTTGCAAGCAAAAATGGACAATTTGGGAAGAGCAGATACGATTATATTCGAGCCTCGAGGCTCGTTTTTACAGTCGCCGATTATGAACCCTTTGCACTCGAAGCCATTTTAATTGTAAATCTAAAATGATTTTTCTGACCTACGCTGCCTCTATTTTATATGACAGAGCGCATTTTATGCGTGTGAAATCGAGTCTTGTGAGTTATGCAAGTTATACTTTTAACAATTTTTCAAATCTAAATTTTCTTGACGTAAGAATTATTTTGGAATGTGATACAAACATTTTTTAGTGGTGCCTCGGAGTCACCACTCGAGCGCAAAGGGTTAACAATTACAGAAATGTACTGCGAGGCTCTAATAATCGTATCCCCCTTCTCTCCTACCGAAATTGTCCACTTTTGTTTACAAGCTGAGGAACAATTGGAGAGAATTTGCCGTAGTTTTGTAAAAATCTGTTTTGACACGTTTGCTACTCCATTATCTTTATTATCTATCTTCAATGCTGAAATGTATCTGATAAATGTATCCACCTCGTTTTTATAATTCTTGACAATCGACAACTATAAAAAGGAGCCGCGAGACTCGAATAATCGTATCTCCTCTTCCCAAATATTCGTTTACAAGTTGAAGGAAACTTGGGAAGAATTTACTCTACTTGGAAGTGAGACATCGAGTTCCAATGAGGAAACGATGTTCTAGAATGTTCAAATTCTGTTCTCAAATTTTTGGTATTGCTAGTTAATGGTATGGCTAGTTTTTTTGGTATAGCTACTTAATAGTATTGCTAGTTTTTCAGCGATAGTTGTTTGAACACTGAAATAGATCTGAATGAGCCATTATGACACGCGTACTTCGCACAGCAAGTGTGACAGCGGAGGGTTAAACAAAGATTAAATTTTAAAATAGAACTTTTCAACTGTTACAGCTTACTGGAAAATTTTCAACTTTTTAACTGTTACAGTTACTGGAAAATTGTCAACTTTTCAACTGTTACAGTTACTGGAAAATTTTCAACTTTTCAACTGTTACAGTTACTGGAAAATTGTCAACTGTTCAACTGTTACAGCTTACTGGAAAATTGTCAACTTTTCAAGTGTTACAGCTTACTGGAAAATTGTCAACTTTTCAACTGTTACAGCTTACTGGAAAATTTTCAACTTTTCAACTGTTACAGCTTCCTCAGAGTTCTTTTTTTACACGTCGTAGACACTATTTTTATTTTCTCAAGCTGTTTCGATTCGGAGATGCTTTCGCGCTAAGGAGCGATATAAAATCTGAAATGCTTTTCTTTCTCGAAATCGTACAGATTCAAATATCCTTACGGAGCTTGAGAGGAGTCTCGCGTTTACGACGAGCTCATAAAATTTAAAGTACGAGTTTTTGTTGTCGTTTTATTACACCGTAAATTAAAGGCGTGTCGCCTGAATTAAAATAACTCGAGGCTAAGCCTGTACGCGACATGATCGATTCTATATTTCTATATTATTACGTATTTCGCTAAATTCGTTATTAAATCATTGCTTAACACCGTGCAATGTACAAGCGAGACGTTGGCCAATGCCAGCGACACGCTTTTTATTCAAAGTGTAATAAAAGTGGCAACAAAAAATCGTGCTTCAGGTTTTATGGATCCGTCGTAAAGGAGAGAGGCCTTCAACCGTCAAATCTACGATAGGCGGAGTAAATGTAAAATTTTATTTTTCATTCCGATCCAGAGATCTATAAAATTTTCCGGAAAAAAAGAACTATCTCCGCTTCTCTTTGCGCTCTTCTGTTGAAAACAATTTTGGAAAAAGTTACGGGAAAGTGAAAGTAGAAACTTCATCCTTTAACGTTTGACCTAAGTAGATTACTTCTCAAGTTTACTTCTCTCTTTAAAGTTACATCGGGTTAAGCACAGAGTGCTTTTAACTCGAAATTGTATCTCAACGTGAGAAATATGAGATCTCTCCAAGATTTAAGTTGCTGGATAAATCCTGTTCCCTTCGTCGCGACTGCTTCGTCGGCTCTATTCAATTTGGCCAAATACATTTTGTATAACATGTGTAGTATAACATAATAACATGGTCGGCAAAAGTAAAAAGCGTTTCTGAAAAATCTAATCGCTACTTGTTGAAACAAGAAGATCTCGAATCCCAAGATAGTTCCACGTAAGTACCTTAGTTCAGCTATCCTGTTCTTAACACATTAAACGTCACGTGATTTATATTGAACTCACGCTGCGTTTGACCAAGAGGTTGCGTGAATTAAATGTAACTGCAACTGTGGATTGGACCTCTACGGCTCGTGAATGGGATACGCGGCACATTTATATTATGTAGCATACATTTACGTAATGCAAATTCAATGGTAGACAAATCTCTAATTCATTTTAAAGAGAAATCAATCATTTTAAAAGCATTTCTGCTTTCATTAATGACTGGTCAATTACTTCAAATTTAAATGTAAACTGAGTAACGAAACCCTGTAAACAATGTACGACGACCATGTAAATTAATTAAATCTCTTACTTTGGGTTTTCAGCTACCTTTAAATATGGACATGTTCACAGTGGAGCACAACGATGAAGTTTATACTTACACATTCACTCTTTCTTCAATGATTGCAATCTATGTATTAATTGTATATAATACGTATGTTGTTTTTGTAACTTTGTACTTGTAAAGTCAAATAACCGTCTGAGAGTTTACAGAGCTTAATAAATAAAAAGAAATTAAATCAGTTTTAAAACCTCAATACTTCAAGAGTAACTTACGTTTTAACATTACTTAATACCTCCTAAAGCGCGATAATTTTGTTAAAACTGGACCGCACGACTCGAATTTTGTTCAAATGTTAAAGGGACTAGTTTATTGTACAATGACCAAAATACTTTCTCTTTTAATTTTTCTGTTACTTGGAATATGCATATTATACATATTATGTAATATATAATACCAATATATTACATAATATATATAATATATTTTTTATTTGCACAATCTGAGCACGAATTAATTAATAATATATATAATATATTATGTAATATTATCGGTATTTATATTACATAATATGTATAATATGCATATTCCAAGTAACAGAAAAATTAAGAAAGAAAGTATTTTATATATATATTACATAATATATAAATACCAACGGTTCGTTCTAGGATTCATTGTTTATAGCTTATAACAATCGTCAACCGATTTCGACGAAATTTTCGGTACACGTATTACCGAGATCTACAAAACCCATTTTTTAAATTTTCTCTCTAGGTTCAGATAAGAAAAGTTAAAACGGTAAATTCTTATTACATTCTTGTTATAGTAAATTCTTTCTAATTCGTGCTCAGAATGTGCAAATAAAAAAAAAATGGACAATTTGGAAACAGGAGTACGATTGCCTTGCGGCTCATATTTCGTCCCAAATTGTCCATTTTTGTGCACAATCTGAGCGCGAATTAGGGAGAATTTACTGTACTTTTTGTCGTTCCACTATAACCGCAAAATCGACAAAAGAATTTCATTTATTTTCTAATTCGCTAGCCCTGCTATCATTAAACAAAAATCAATTAATTTAGTCCAGTCTCAAATAAATCATTGCGTTTCAGAAGCAATGCCGAATACAGTAATGTTTCTCTAACTCAGATTGTCCACAAAAATGGACAATTTGGGAAGAGGAGATACGATTATTCGAGGCCTGCAGCTCGTTCTCACAGTTGTTAACAATTCGAGACTACAAAAGCGAACCGCAAGGCTCGAACAATCGTCCCTTCTCTTCCCAAATTGTGCATTTTTGTGCGCAATCTGAGCGCGAATTAGGGAGAAATTACTGTACAGTAATTTTTCTTCAGCTCGTAAACAAAAATAGATAATTTGGGAAGAGGAGATACGATTATTCCTGTCTCTTATACACATCTAGATGTGTATAAGAGACAGATTATATTATTACATATTAACTATATAATTAATTATATAGTTAATATGTAATAATATAATCTGTCTCTTATACACATCTAGATGTGTATAAGAGACAGGAATAATCGTATCTCCTCTTCCCAAATTATCTATTTTTGTTTACGAGCTGAAGAAAAATTACTGTACAGTAATTTTTCTTCAGCTCGTAAACAAAAATAGATAATTTGGGAAGAGGAGATACGATTATTCGAGGCCTGCAGCTCGTTCTCATAGTTGTTGACAATTCGAGACTACCGCAAGGCTCGAACATCGTATCTTCTCTTCCCAAATTGCCCATTTTCGTGGCCAATCTATGCGTCAATTAGAGAGACATTACTGTATCTTTCACGAGGTACCACAATTAGAGCGTCCTCTCGTAACCGGGAAAAATCCAGGATCGTTCGACGTTCGTAGAATTTCTAATTAGCATTGCAGTTTGTCAGAGCAGCCACCGTGAGTAGCGTCTCGTCCGAAAGAGTCGTCGCGCCTCTCGAGTGTCTCGTCCGCGTCGCCGTTCGCGAGAAGAGACAAAGGGGACGCAACAAGATCGGGGAACGCGACGGTTCCCCGTCGCCGATCGCGATAATCGATGGGGGGCTCGTACCGTTTGTGCGGTTTCTCGTCCTGCGTCTCACCTACGAACGCTTTGAATTCGTAGTCGACGCCGCAGGGCTTGCCGGTGTCGCCGGGCGCAGGTTGCAGGGTGACGGACGCGGGACAATGGGGCGGCAGCTCGAAGTAGAACGGGTACGCGTTGCTGCCCAGCTTCTTGATCAGCCTCTCCTGCAGCCGTGTCAGCTCCCTCTGCTGCGAGCCGGGCACCACCGGGTAGATCTGATCGGCCGCGAGGTAGAGGTCCTTGCGGAACGACAGCCCGAGAACGTCCAGGTCCTCCCTGCCGTATTTGAACACGGCGAGAACATGGCCGAAGACCTTGCGATCCTTCACGTAATCTGGGTCAATCAGCACGACCCCGTCTGCAACGATTGAACAGCGATCGGTCAGCAAGCTTTAAGTGGCCTTAGCGCGGGATCGAACGACCCCCGACGACGCGTAAATCGAATTTCCCAATCGGAACACCGCCAAAGAGTCTTTCCAGACGGCTGCTGATTCCTCGAGTGTCAAGTGGCCGCCTCTGAATGGATCGCCCCTCAATGGGCGCGAGCAGCCCGTATTCAAGATTAACTCCCCCAGGCCAACATACACGGTGGAACGCTTGTTACGTAACGCGAACCGTAATGCCGGGACGTCGCCGGCCTCGCCGACGGGTCACGGAACGTTCCGTATCTTTAAGACGATTTCCACCGGACTTTCGTGGTCTTAGAAACGACCCCGACGAGGTTCTTTCACGGAGAACGTCTAAAGTTAGCGCGGAGTCGCGCGAGTTTGAATGAACGGCGACCGTGTCTCGTGTCTCACGGCGCGAGTCAACTGATTTTATGAATCGACCGTCTGCGAGGGTGTTTTGAACTCGGCCGGCGTTTAAGGGGATTTTCGTATGCGCGAATAACGGAGGTGTAATCGCGTCGCGATATACGATGTGAAAGTGTGGAGACTGCGTTGTGGGAGACAGTGTTCTGCTGCTTTTACGTTAGCGGGCGAAATTAGGAGAGAGAAACACTTCATTATTTTTTATATTTATTATTATGAGATTCGTATGGTTTTCGTATCGGATTTTCATTGCACGCGCCAAAACGTGCAGCGAAGCGATTGTGATAAATTAAATGATTAGAAAAGAAGATTTTCGATTGAAGCAGCGGGAGAGATAAAGAATGTACCTTGCGATAAATTGTATTTCAATTAGTGAAAGAGTAAATTGATCGTATGATAAATTAATCGAATGTAGATCACACTCTGTACGAAACCGCTCTGATTTGATTAGTAGACAGTTATGATTTCCGGTGATTTTTTATTTATAGTGAAAATTCGCACGATACTGAGGCAATTATTTATCGAATATTATATTAGAGAGCTGATAATTGTTTATAAAATACAACTATTCTCGTTGAATATTATGCTGAAGGCTTAACAATTATTTATCAAATGTTACATTAGAAACCGAAGAGTGATTTATCAAATATTATATTGGAGAGCCAACCAGTATTTATTAAATGCTATATTGGAGAGCCGTCACAATGTCAATACACTTGAATGGACGAGAGAACGAGCAATCAGAATCAATCGATCACAAATACTGGACGAAAAGAGGGAACAAAACGCCGCACAGCGTAATTACAAATTATATGAGACATTGATGAATGTTAATATTCCTTGATAAAGGAAAAAGGTTACCGTTATTTCGATAACTGTTTCGAAAATATGAAATTATGTTCATCGACAATTGTACGAAGAGTACAATTTTCTAAATTGCACAATTGTACAATTTTCTAAATACGATTTTATACCCTAATAGAACAACTGAAAGGAACTTCATGTTTTAATATGCAAAGGTTGGTGTTTATAATCACAACATGAAAAAGTATTTCCGAACTGAAGATAAATTGAATAACATTGAATTAAATTACATAACATCGGCGTGATTAAAATGACATAGAACTTGATTATAAAATTAAATCATATAACAGCTTGCTTCATCGAGTAATCGTGGTGGTTTTAAGAAAGGATAGTTTGCTACTGAATCAAACATCCTTAACAATTTTATTTAATTACACTGTGTTGTAATTTCATTCAATGGAAATTCTATTATTTTGCAATTAAGACCTTTTTGTATCATTCGTTTCAGTCACGAAGATGTCAGTCACAATTAATTCTTCGAGGACAAGGCCTAATCGTCGATTTCTTTCTAAAAAACGATGCAACTGTAGCCGTAATCTGATGCTGATTTGAACAAAAAGAAAGATAACAATAATGCGTAAAACTTACGAAACATACATAAATCTCCTGTTTCTGTAATGTATGAACGATGCTGTTCTAGAAAAACAATGTTTAGATCTTATTTTAGTAATTTACACGTATTTCCTAATTTTGCCCACTGGTGTAGTTGCACAGGTATCGTAGCAAATAGAAAGCAGAATAACAAGCGTCACTCGTGAGCTTGACACGAGTGCCACGTCATTCATACATGAGTGACACAATTATATCGTCAAACTCGGAAATGGATTTCAAATTACAGTAAATTTGCTCTAATTGACGCTCAGATCGCGCACAAAAATAGACAAATTGGGAAGAAGAGATACGATTATTTGAGCCTCCCGGCTCGTTTTTATAATTATAGATTGCCAGCAACTATGAAAACGGGCCGCGTGGCACGCATAGTTGTATCTCTTCTTTTCAAATTGTTCATTTTTTGTGTACAATTTGAGCACCAATTAGGAAGAATTTCCTGGACAATCTATTGACACTCGAACAGCGAGGATCGGTTCCATTTGAACCTAAAGTATAAATATTGCTATTCGATCACAAAATTTCTGGCAATTAACTTTAATCTTTGCATGTTCCAATAAGAGATAAGTCTCAGAATATTGCTATTCGATCACAAAATTTCTGGCAATTAACTTGAATTTTCGCATGATCCAACAAAAGATGAGTCCCAGATGTCTCTGAGACCTTGAAAGATGTTAAAAAAGATCGAGAAGTTGTATTGCTCTGAAACAGATCCGAGTGAAACCGTTCGAGTGTTACATGCACCAAACTTTGTTAGGATCTGCAAGGTGTAAGGAGATTAGAGAAGCGACTGCTGTAATAAATCTTATTTGTTCCATATTATGGTACAATTCAAACAAGCGACATCGATATCATGGTTTTCCATGGAGCGACGATGAACGCGTTCTGCTTACCGATCGGATCGACGTGCGTTATGTGATCGACGAAATCCCGTTTGCCGAGGTACACCGTGATCTTTCCATTTAAATTCGACTTCTTGAAGACACGAGTAGCTTGCCGCTTGCTGGTACTGTCCACAGTGTCCATCGCGGAGATTTCGGGGCTGACGATGGCCCCTAACTCATTTGAGTCCTCCGCCTCCGAGCACTCGGATTCCGAACTGTCCCACTGTACAGAGGAAAAGAATTCAATTATCGTCTCGCCCGTCTCTTATCGACCCTCGGCATCTCTTATCGAACGGCACACCGTCGCCGTCCTCGTCCCCGAGAACGACTCGAACTCGAAAGAAGTCGAACGAACGAGTGTTTTCGTTTCCCCGACCGCTTCCACGGGAACACCGGCCGGCCGGGAACCGTGCTGCAGTAAAGTTGCAGTACATTCTAACTTTCGCGGAGTTCTGCCAGCGAGCCAGAAGTCGTTGCTGAATTTGTTAACAGCCAAGTGCCGTGGCGCCCTTCGTTCAAACGAACCTTCCATTCCCTTAGCTCCTCCGACTCCCATGGCTCTCTCCTATGCTTTCCTTTCACCTGCGTAAACGAACCTAGTTTCCGCTCCCGGCTTTGCTGAACGCGTTAACCGGCGAAGACGAGTTACCTCGCGACTGTACATATTTACCGATTAACCCTTAATTCCGTGGATCTTCAATTATTGCCTCTGCGCGCAGCAAAATGTATACAGTAAATTCTGACTAATCGATGCTTAGCTCGTGCACAAAAATGAACGATACGATAGAGAAGATCAACTTTATTCGAGCCTCGCGGCTCGTTTTTATAGTTGAAAATCGGGAACTATAAAAACGAGCCGCGAGACTGGAATTATCGTACCGTTTCTTCCCTAATTGTCTATTCTTTTTTTTTTTGCTGTGCGTCAATTAGACAGAATTTACTGCACTTTCTCAAGAACAAGCGAACGATAAATTGTTCTTTGTTTGACTCGTTAACAGGGTATGACGAAATATTTCGTCATACCAGGAAGGCGACGCCAACTGGCGTGACGACTTTTTCCGTCTGGGAAATTTTTAAAAGTGGAGCACATTTTGTGTTCTGCGTTGTTCTTGCCCATTGAAACATAGAGGGACCATATGGTGACATTGCGAATTTGCACGGTTTTGTTTCAAACGTCGTTACAATGCATTTTATACAGGGTGTCCCAAAAATGTTTCGCAATTCGGAAATAGAGGATTCTTGAGGCCATTTCAAGTAACTTTTTCCTTTACAAAAATGTTCTCCGCGGCTTTGTTCACGAGTTATTAATGAAAAACACTGACCAATAAGAAGCGAGCTTGCCTGGCACCAGGCGGCCCAGTCAACCAGCGCACGAAGCCCAGATTCGCTCATTGGCTCGGCCGAACCAATCAGCGGCTGCCTCGCGCCAGCCGAGCTCGCCTCTGATTGGTCACGGTTTTTCGTTAATAACTCGTAAACGAAGCAGCGGATTGCATTTTCGCTAAGGAAAAGGTTACTTCAAATGACCTCAGGAACCTACTATTTCCGGATTGCGATACATTTTTGGGATATCTTGTATATGTAGCCATCAGATTAATTGAAAGACATTTTGCCAATTATGCACCGTCTAATTCTTCTAGTTCAAACGTAACCAGAAGGTGCAAACTGTGTCATTCAAAAGGTTCGAGAAAAGAAACAAGATTTTGGTTTCGTTTCGATTTCTTTAATTAATCCTCCGTATATTGGAAGTACTTGATTGATATATTTTCAAAATATCTCACGAAATATTTTGTCCAAATAAATAATCAACGATCGAATCGCGAATTCTGTTATTTTAACTTTAACGCTATAACGGGTCGCCAATTTTTTAATTTACGATCATTCCATATCGTGAACATACGTTTATGAATTATAACGCTTGTTAAAAATCAGAATAAATGTCTTATTGTTACTTTTATAAACAAAACATAAAACAGAGCTGTTTTTCGTGCTCCGTAAATCTAGTGTTAAGCGTGACAATTCATATCGTCTCACCGCGAAGGAAGGAGTCCCCATTGTGGAACGAGTTGAACAAAAGTTAATTCCCCGGTTAAAGATAAAAAAAAATAGCTTGGTTCGTCAAAGTTTCTCGCCATTTGGGAGTTCGTCACCTAAAAACCTCCTTCCCGCTGTGAATTGTTAAAACAGAAATAACAACAAGAACTTTACCCTCTAAGCACGTCAGGTTTTAAACGCGCGAAGTATGCGCTTATGGCTGCGAGCGTCGCTGCCATCCGAACACGGGATAAAAGCCAAGATTTTTTCTGGAACACGTCATACGGGACGGGTCGAACCGCTCGGCGTTCCGCGTGTAATTAATTTTCCACGGTAATTAGTTCTAGATAAAAATGCTGCCGGTGACGTTCCCGTTAGGAGGACTGAAAAATTGCGGTAAACCCTTTTTATACAGGGTGTCCCACAATTATTTTAACAGCCGAAAATGAGGGGTAGTTGAGGTCATTTGAAGTAACTTTTTCCTTTGCGAAAATGCAATCCGCGGCTTTGTTTACGAGTTATTAACGAAAAACACTGGCCAATGAGAGGTGACGGTGCGAGAGAGAGAGTCCGCGAGAGAGTACGCAGCACGAGGCTTTGACAGATGGTCGGGACGGACTCGAGCCACGTTCGAAGTATTGAACAAATTACGAAGCGAGAACTTTCAGGATTTTTTTTTACTACGTAACAGTGATATTTTTAAGAAAAACGCTGTTCACCTTTACTTTAGAACGTCTGAAGAATATTTACTCATTTTTCGGACCCGAAATAATAAATAATTTAACCGTGACGGCCGTTTTAATTTTCTAGTGTGCATGACACCTCGTGTGTAACATGTGAAATTTTTAAGCAAGGTGTGCAGTGAAGGTTAACAAAGTACGTAAATGATATTTTAATTTAAATAATTCCGTGTACGAACAGAATTCAACGAATGATTCGCAAAGCTGATTTAATAATAAATAATCGCGTTAAGGTACGTAAAGGATTTGTTTTTTAGAGAAATATGAAAAATATTATCGATAAGAAACTCACCCATTTAGTTGAGGATGCATTTGCTGACTCGTACGTACTGACCTCGTACAACGAACAGCTGATCCCAGGTCGATGACCGCAACATTCGAGGGATACTGTCGGTGGAACCTCTGGTATGGTTATTTGCGAAGTTCACTTACACTGCACTGTCACCAAACACTGATCAGTTATTTAATCACTGATAATCCGAATCACTTGTGGATATTTAAGAAAGATCACTGAGACTCGTTCGCGGATAATCGTTTATTCGACGCGTTCGTTCGGAAGTCGACGTTTCACTGCCAAAAAATCGAGGCCTCGACCGTGGGCCCTTGTCGTTCGTCTTTCGGCCGTCCGAGGAAATAACACCCGATACTATTTTCTTCGAAGCGCAGGGTACCGCCAAATGAAATAAACAAGATATGCCGAGACGTAAACTGTGTCCGACCCGCTGTCACCCTGCGCTCTTAGAACGTAATTAATGGCCGTGCGAAGAAAATGGTATCGAGTGTCATTTCCTCGGACGGCCGAACGAAGAACAACAAGGACCCACAGTCAAGGCCTGAATTTTTCGGCAGTGAAACGTCGACTTCCGAACGAACGCGTCGAATAAACGATTATCCGCGAACGAGTCTCAGTGATCTTTCTTAAATATCCACAAGTGATTCGGATTATCAGTGATTAAATAACTGATCAGTGTTTGGTGACAGTGCAGTGTAAGTGAACTTCGCAAATAACCATACCAGAGGTTCCACCGACAGTATCCCTCGAATGTTGCGGTCATCGACCTGGGATCAGCTGTTCGTTGTACGAGGTCAGTACGTACGAGTCAGCAAATGCATCCTCAACTAAATGGGTGAGTTTCTTATCGATAATATTTTTCATATTTCTCTAAAAAACAAATCCTTTACGTACCTTAACGCGATTATTTATTATTAAATCAGCTTTGCGAATCATTCGTTGAATTCTGTTCGTACACGGAATTATTTAAATTAAAATATCATTTACGAACTTTGTTAATCTTCACTGTACACCTTGCATAAAAATTTCATATGGTACACATAAGGTGTCATGCACACCAGAAAATTAAAACGGCTGTCACGGTTAAACTACATATTATTTCGGGTCCGAAAAATTAGTAAATATTCTTCAGACGTTCTAAAGTAAAGGTGAACAGCGTTTTTCTTAAAAATATCACTGTTACGTAGTAAAAAAAAATCCCGAAAGTTCTCGCTTCGTAATTTGTTCAATACTTCGAACGTGGCTCGAGTCCGTCCCGACCATCTGTCAAAGCCTCGTGCTGCGTACTCTCTCGCGGACTCTCTCTCTCGCACCGTCACCTCTCATTGGCCAGTGTTTTTCGTTAATAACTCGCAAACAAAGCCGCGGATTGCATTTTCGCAAAGGAAAAAGTTACTTCAAATGACCTCAGCTACCCCTCATTTTCGGCTGTTAAAATAATTGTGGGACACCCTGTAGATCCTTCTTCACGCCCTTCGGACGTTCGACTATGAACGAGAAATCGCTCTCTCGACGGATTGATGCTCGGCTTCGTTGAAAAAGCCACGTGAAACCGCCGTCGTTCCAACGAAGCTCTGCGTTTCTCATTGAATTTTATTTAATTTTCGACTTTCTCGCTCGATCGGCTGCATCGCCGGTGCTCTCTTCCGGACTGGCACGCACCGCTCGCACGCATTGTTAATCGACAAAGCGCCGGCTCTGCATACCGCACGCATAATGCCCGCCGAAAAGGACTTTCATTGTCGTTCTTTGAGTGCGCGGCGCACTCGTGGAACGAGAACCTTTGATCGCCGACGGCGTCAAAGGCGCGGCCTACGGGAACGCTGGAAAACGGTATCAAAAAGGGGGATGTCAATGATACATGTTTTTTTCGCTCTCTTTCCCTGTGCACGCGCGAATGTTACGCGCGGTCCGACGGTCTGTGCTCCGCGAAGGGTGTCTTCAAGGACGTGTTTTCGAGACTCCAACGGTTTCGCGCTCCAACCACCACCCCAAATGAGACGGGGCGAAACTCTATTTGAATCGTGCCGCCTGCGTTTGTCGTCTCTGTTGTGTTGTCTCACGAACTACCGTCCGCACGTACGCCGCCGTGATTTCGGAGAATTGCTATGTTTGCACCGTGATTTCCACCGGAAACCATCAATCGTTCTAACGTCGATACGTTATCGGCGACACTCTGCCGCGGACACTTCTATTTTTTCATTCTTCGCGCAAGCTTTCAACGCGCGATCGATGAATTGCCTAATTAGTTGCTTCGGATATGGTTTTACGGGGACGATAAGCTTGCGGTGAACGCTATAGAAGAGTTAAGAGGCGAGTAACGAATTCTTTGTGTATCTGGTCTTTGTCGTTACATTTTTGGGACATTATTGGTCTGCATTATTTTGTCTGCATTTGATGCATTCTTTTGGAAAATCGAGAGGCACGAAATACTGTGCGCCGAGCATAAATATTTTTCAATAACTGTGCGTTCCGTGTTGAAATGAATAAAGTTGGTCGAGCTATTGAAATAAATAAAGGTAAATGTGTTTGCAAGCATTTCTAATTTTTTTCTTCTCACAACAATACTTTTAGTACTTAAAAGCTCTTTTGTAAAAGCCTACTTCTGGTGTTTAAGAGGCGAGTACGAATTTTTCATGTATCTAGGTTCTATCGTTTTATTTTTGGGACATTATTGGAATCTGCATTTGATGCACTCTTTTGGAAAATCGAGAGTCACGAAATACTGTGCGCCGAGCATAAATATTTTTCAATAACTGTGCGTTCCGTGTTGAAATGAATAAAGTTGGTCGAGCTATTGAAATAAATAAAGGTAAATGTGTTTGCAAGCATTTCTAATTTTTTCTTTCCACAACAAAAATTTTAGTACTTCAAAGCTGTTTCGTAAAAGCGTGCTAGAGTTGCGGAGCGAGTAAAAAATCGTTGGACTGCTGTGCGGCGATGATGGTTTTATTAAATCTAGTTTCTAAAACTTTCTCGCGCAACTTTTCATGGAATTGTTGTAAAGTAAATGAAATTACGAATGCACACGTACGAACTAAAAATTATTAAAATTCTCAGAATTCTCAGAAAAAACGTTATACTATTTATGAGTTATTTATTCAATTTATATGTCACAGCAAATGTTACAATAGCACTTGTTAAAAATCAGAATAAATGTCTAATTGTTACTTTTATAAGCTAATATAAAACAGTTGTTTCTTGTGCTCCGTAAATCTAATGTAAATAAGCCCCGATTGAACTGCATTTATTCAAATATTCACAATACTTTAGTTATCATAACTTCTAGACTGCGAAAGTTTATGCTTTGTTATTAGCTATAATAATTTAAACTCAACCATGCAAAATCGTCGAAACTCGGATTAAAGGAATCGTACTTCCTTTACGCGATGTAATAATATTGTAACGTGGCCTAGTGCAATTAACATCTCACAATACTTTAGTTATCACAATTTCTAGACTGCGAAAGTTTGTGCTTCGTCTAAGCTATAATAATTTAAACTCAACCATGCAAAATCGTCGAGAATCGTACTTCCTTTACGCGATGTAATAATATTGTAACGTGGCCTAGTGCAATTAACATCTCACAATACTTTAGTTATCACAATTTCTAGACTGCGAAAGTTTGTGCTTCGTCTAAGCTATAATAATTTAAGCTCAACCGTGCAAAATCGTCGAAACTCGGATTAAAGGAATCGTACTTCCTTTACGCGATGTAATAATATTGTAACGTGGCCTAGTGCAATTAACACATCTCACAATACTTTAATTATCACAATTTCTAGACTGCGAAAGTTTGTGCTTCGTCTAAGCTATAATAATTTAAACTCAACCATGCAAAATCGTCGAAACTCGGATTAAAGGAATCGTACTTCCTTTACGCGATGTAATAATATTGTAACGTGGCCTAGTGCAATTAACACATCTCACAATACTTTAATTATCACAATTTCTAGACTGCGAAAGTTTGTGCTTCGTCTAAGCTATAATAATTTAAACTCAACCATGCAAAATCGTCGAAACTCGGATTAAAGGAATCGTACTTCCTTTACGCGATGTAATAATATCGTAACATAGCCTAGAGCAATTAACATCGCAGTCTTCCAAAAATACTCTATACGGCTGCACAGCGAAACCGGCGCAGATCCGAGCAGCAATCTGGGAATCTTTATGCACTTCGGTGCAAACATAGCTGAACGAAAACGCAATAACACAGGTGATTCCCAATTCCCGGCCGGTCTGCGAGCTCGTGAATCTACAATCTACAGAAACATCCGCAGCTCGACTAGTCACTTTATAGGAGCATTTATCGAGTTTCTGGTGTTCACCTGCAGCATGCTCCCGCCGGCGGATACCTCGGTTCTCCGGGCGCTTTTCTAATTTTCCGGCTGCGTCGCCGAGCGTCGCGATAAATAATCCAATCGCGAGAGCACGGCCGAGTAATCGCGTTTTAAAGCGCGTTCCCCTTCGTCGCAGTAGCCGTGTAATCTGATTATCGGTACCGGCTCACGCGAAACGCTGATTTCACGTTCCGCGAACGCGCGATCGTGTCACCTGACGGACATTCTTTGTCGTTCCGCGAGCAAAGCAAGCAACCGCGCCGCCGCTCGCGTTGAGAAACGGCGTGCAGCACACGCCGGACACAACACAATCCGAATATCCGCGTTATCAGGTCCATAGAATTCGGCCGGGTTTTATCGAGGACAACCGCGCCGGGTTCGCACTTCGTGCGCGCGATCGACGATATTACGCGCGGCGTGATTTTCCAAGGGAAAATGCGTTGCTCGAGAAGAAGCTCGCCGATCCGCGATCGCTGCCGCACTAACTTTTCAGCAACAAAGCGCAACCCTCGCGAGCGTCGACCACGGACTAAACAGGCCTTGACAAATGGATGTCAATTTCAATCGGCGCTCGTGTAATTCTTAGCGCGATCTATGGAACGATTCGTGCGCGGCAGAGCGTGTAAGCACGCGGCCGGGTTCCGTGTCGTTTCTAGATCGGGATCGCGAGATCGCGTACGCGACGTCGCTTCGAAAAACCTTCTCCCCTCCCCCCTCTCCCGAGACAATGCAAATTTTGCACGACAGACGAAAGAAATACGGCGGACGGAGCAACGGTTGTCAGTAGATGATAGATTTCATGCACTTATATGAAAAGAAAGGGATAAACTAAACACTGAACAGTGAAGACAACAGAAGACGTACATTTTTGTCTGAGATAAGGAACGGTGCAAATTTTTATTTCGCATGCAGATTCGCAGTCTCGCTATCAGGATAGTGATCTTAATAAACTAAACACTGAACAGTGAAGACAACAGAAGACGTACATTTTTGTCTGAGATAAGGAACGGTGCAAATTTTTATTTCGAATAAAGATTCGCAGTCTCGCTATCAGGATAGTGATCTTAATAAACTAAACACTGAACAGTGAAGACAACAGAAGACGTACATTTTTGTCTGAGATAAGGAACGGTGCAAATTTTTATTTCGAATAAAGATTCGCAGTCTCGCTATCAGGATAGTGATCTTAATAAACTAAACACTGAACAGTGAAGACAACAGAAGACGTACATTTTTGTCTACTTTCTGTTTGAGATAAGAAACGATGCAAATTTTTATTTCGCATACAGATTCGCAGTCTGGCTGTCAGATACTATCCGTATTTTGTACGAGAATGGGTTATTTTTATAATCGTTGAGATTTAGGACTGCGTTTAATCTGTAGAAAACGTTCGATCATAATAAACGCGATTGTAAAACGCAATACTGAATGCAATAAATCGAATGGAAAAATTAAGAATTACCCGAGGTATTCGTAACGGAAATGATTTATTCTCATTCCTCTGAGATTATTTATCTTGTACAACATTTCAAAAATATAAATATTGCTCCTCTGTTCTTCTATAGTTTCAAAAATCGTCTACGTAGTAAAGATTATTTATTAATTGCAGAGATCTTTAACTATTGAGACATAACATTTCCATACTATCCCATGCAATACCAATGATTTCATTATCATTTATTTACGGTCTATTAGGCTCCTTTATATCGAACAAATGAAATATGCATAATCCGGAAAAAATAAATTCGCTGTTCTCGGCGGCGATGTCCGTGCAAGATAGAATAACTTTGGAAACTACACGAGTGATCGAATTCGAGAAGATCTTTGGTTCGCGGATTGAAGTTCAAAATCCCAGGGTGAATTTCGCCGATCGATCACGGACAAAGGACGATTCTTTAGGAGGATAGCTAGCGAGCCGGCACGTTTACATTCGGTAACCAGAAAAGTTTCTTTGGCGAGCGTGAATAGCTCGCTCGCTCGCAGCCTGGTTTCTGAATCACGCGGCGGACAATTTCCTTCGTTTCGCGAACAGTTTCCCTCAGAGATCGACTTCCAGTTGTGTAAATTATTGCGCAAGTCGTTTCGCGGAATCTCGCCGCGAGAAGCCTTCGGATGAAAGTCGCTTCTCCCGTCGACGTTTCTCGCGTAATTCAATCGGCCGGGGCCCGCGGCAGAAATTAAATCGGGACCGGAACGGGCCGAGACGCGGGAAAAATTGATAAGCAGTCGATTTCATTCGATTACCGACTGCGAGAAGAATCCGTTTTTCCCGGGGCTCGGTCTTTTCGTTCCCTCTCGTTCCCTCTAACTGTTTCCCCTCGTCCTCGCGTCATTTCTCTCTCTCTCTCTCTCTCTCTCTCTATCTGTTTTTTCCTCACTCCCTCGCTATCGTCTATCTGGCCGGGTTTACCGTGCTTCGTAAAACTGAACGGCCAATTTTCCGATAAAAGAGAAGGGAACGAAATTCGCGACGCGGCATGAAATCGATGGGAGAAGTTCCCGAAGAATGAGGGGCGAGACGGTATCGGGAAACTTCGAACGAGCGACAATAAATTGGCTATTCTTGGCGGCGATTTCCGAGCAAGATGCAGGTTCGTCACAGATTCGGAAATAGATACCCGGTTTCGAAAACATATCGACACCAGAACCAGGCACAGCGTCAACTTTCTTCGGCGAGTTTCGCGTACCGATCGATCGACGACGATCCATGATCTTGTGCACGCTGCTTCGTAGATCGTGGCTACGAAAGCTGAGGAACGATCCTATAGGGTGAGCGAGCCATCTGTTGATTTCTTTTTAATCAGTTAGCTGATGCAATCACGCCGAAAAGCGAGCAAGTTACTGTGATTATGCTGCATATGTTTGATTTTCTTCATATTTTGCTTATAGACAATACTTTTCTAAAATATGCAACTGTTTAAATATATAATTAATTATATAGGTAATATGTAATAATATAATTAATATATAATAATATTACTAATATATAACTATATTTAATATTAACTATTAAATATATATCTGTTTTCGACGAGTATACTCGCCATGAAGAAACGACAACATCTTCTGCTACGACGACAATGCTCGTTAAAAACAGCTAACTGGTTAATAAAGCAAAAAAACTTCGGAAAGTATTAAACGGTTTTTTTTATAGCAATCTAAAAAGGAAAGCAACAGATGACCTCACCCTGTACAGGAATTCGTAGCAGAACCGAGCAGGGGCTGATTCTACGTGAGAAAATAAGGAAAAAAAATTGGTGTAACATTTTATTATCCGGGGCTCCCTTTCCGAGAGAATCAACTTTAAAGTTTGTTTACCTTTGTAAAGGATTTAGTTGTCGTTTATTCTTCTACCACAGTTGGCTCCGTCTGGGATAGTGTTTACAAACATTGATTGTTGCGAACTATGCAGTCAACGGAATGTTTCCATCATTGTCAATGTTGGAAAGTATTAGAATTATAGTACTACAATTATAGTACTAAAATTGTAGGATTTGTAGTGCAACCCCCTGTTCGGTTGTACATACGAATTTCGACCCATCCTGCATAATACTTTTAAGTCGAATATTAGTCGAATATTATTACTCATCAAAAATTATTCTATCTATTTATTCGAATAAATTATTATATTTATTCTATCCATTTATTCGAATACATTATTACATAATCAATCGAATACAAAATAATTTGTTGCAAAATTGAATGTAAAACAAATGTATTAACAAATTATTTTATATTCGATTGATTATATATTATAAAATTATTTCAATAATAAAGCTTTATTTTAATATATATATATTTTTATAGATTATTTAATCTATATATAAATCGTTTATTTCTCGCACGAACTCCTGTACGAATAAATTCTTATTCGGATAAATTTCTATCCACAGATTAATTTTCGTACGATTTCATACGTATCCGTTAGCGTCGATTAAAGTTTCGTCGTTAGTCCCTGCACGCCTGCGACCGATGGTTGCGCAAGATAAAAGAAAGCACGAGACAAGGGACATTAATTTCTCGATTACATCGTAAACAAGTATCTATGACAGTTGGTTTCGCGCATTTGCGACAAGATCACGGTAGCTAATCATAACTAATTATGGAGGACCTGACGCGATTGCAAGGCCACGCCTGCACGATCCACATAAATCATGGGAATTCGCTTAGCAGAGCATCATTTCCGCAGTATGTGCATGGTTCGACGAGTTCGTACTAATTATCTCATGACTATAATTTCATATCCGCGGGCCGGGTCCTCGGTTAGGCGAACAGGCGACCGTCCCGTGTCGCCGAAGTAATCGAGTTTGCCAGGACTCGCGCGGGAAAACGCGAGGAAAGAGGGAACAACCCTATTCCCATCGACGCGGAACTTTTCGATACCAATTATCGACTTCGTCCTGACGTTATGTCATCTCTGTATCCTACCTACGCATATATACATTACGTGTACATTAATCACGACATTTCCTGCCTTTCATCTTGCACGAATTACGGCCGGAGTAACTTCGCTTTTCAACTTGATCTTATTAATTAATTCTTGCTAGACGAGTGCTGTTCACGATTTCATGGTTGCGAAATGTGTATTTCTTTGAGATGGACATCGACCCTCTTATTAGATTCGATGCGAACAGCTAATGATCCAAGCTGGCTACTAGAAAATTGAAGCAATTAATTTGCTAACGTCACGGTGTTTGTTAACTCGAGACTATTTTAACTCAGAAATGAAGACATTTGTTTCAACTTACAATATTTCCACTTGTTATGAGATTGTTTTTATTTGATACGTGTGAAATTGAACGTGTACGATTATAGAACGCTTCTATTATCTAACAATTTATCGAATAATTTAATAATAAAATAAATGTAATAATGTGAAGATTCTTTTGAAAACAGTGTAGCAATTTTTAGCGTCGCCTCAGAATCGCCATTCGAGTGCAAAGGGTTAAATAATTAATTTTATAACGCCGAGCTGGAGATTACAGTAGATTTATTTTATTTAATTTATTTTTATTTAGGTCAGTTGATTGCCTCGTTAGATTTGATGCAAATGTCTAACGATTTAAACTGGCTGCTAGGAAAATTGTAGTAATTAAGCCTGCGTGCATTGGTTAAATAATTTACTTTATAACATCGAGCCGCTATTACTATAAATTTCGAACGTTCTCATTTTCACGTTTTCGTGGAGAACGGGAAATTCTCCTCGCTGTGGAATAAATCTAACGAATGCTAAATTTCTCTGCTTCTACTTAATTCTTGCATAATATAGTACTGAAAAGGTTCATTTAGCATGTAATCTCGACTGATTATATTTATTATACTCTACCGAGTATAATGTATAATAATCCAATGTTTCTCGCAGAAGATGTTCTATCTCGAAGCGAAAATGAAAATATCAAAAGTTAAAAAACTCTATTGTATTTCACAAATTAAATATCCTCTTCTCGCCTTTATTTTTCCTGAACTACAGAATTGATACATAGCGTTGGCTTCGCATCGCACGAACAAGAATATTTTTAAACTAACTAGAACACAAGTTTGAAGTCACGCAAACATACAGATCATTCATAGTAACATCTCATACTGCA